CAATAGAACCCCTGACCCTGGGGCCATAAAATTCACAATTTAGAAAGAAGCACTTTCTTGCTCATCGTAACTATATGCTTAGTTAGTTAATTTAATACCCAGAAGCAGAGAAGAAGATTTTCAAAGAATAAATGCATTTTCACTATATAATCAACACAGCACCATCCTAACACCAGAACCCCTGATCCTAGGGTCATAAAATACACAATACTGGAAGAGGTACTCTTGCTCATTATAAGTACATGTACGAGGGTTGTCCCAAAATTCCGTAGACAAGCGTTGTTTTGTAGGAACCCTACGTCATACATGAATGAAACTTCGTATCTAGATTAAACAAACACTATCTAATAAATTTATGGACAAATATCGAGTAACTACACAAATTATTCCAATTTAAAAGACACATTACATTGTCTGGTGAAGGAAGGCGGCGCAATACCCAAAAGTTGCAATTAAAATTTGGTATATTATATTTAAAATCCTACGGAAAAGTAATTACTACCGAATATTATATTTAATGGAAATGAAAATTCTTAATATTGTTTTATTAACTATATTTCCTCAAATTTTGGTGTGTATGCTTTGATAAATAGGAATTTTATAACGTTATATATACAATGTACATGGGGTTAAAATCCGAATTTTTGAAAAATGGCGGCTGCGTTGGCCCAGGCGGCGCACTGGACTATGATCAAGTGTTTTGATCCTGAATTCACTCTTACAGAAATGTACCGGTCATAAATGTTTGGTAGACTAGGAAACTTTTTCTCCTCCTTAGTATTTAAAATGACTAAAACGGTTTCTCTATGTATATGTCAATAACACTAATTAAAATAAAAGACAGGGCTAAGAAATGGGCAAGAGTTCCATTATGCAAATCCATTAGAGAAAATAGACGAAAAGCCCGTAGAAATATAGTGTTTTCAAATTATTATTATTTCATACCTGTACATGCATGTACTTTGTTTACATATTTTAATGTTTGATCATATCATAGTAATTAAGATATTTTTCATTTATAACTATAACCGTTTCGTTTAATTTCAGAATTTGATTCTGTTAATTGAAATATTTTCTCCAAAAATTTGAACTGTTGACATTTGTATTTTTTGACGTCGCAGATTGCCCCGGGTGTTAGAGAACTATATCACTTTAAATGTTACTACCCGAAAAGTTTTCAAGTAAACATGATGAAACTTCGTAATTTATCTGCCAAGAACAGACTTTATCCACCTTGAAATTTTTATAAAGATACATTAATTTCTTTAAAAGATATGAGCTCAGTCTACGAAATTTTGGGACAACCCTCGTATGTGCTTAGTTTATTTAATACCCAGGTGCAGAAAAGAAGATTTTCAAAGAATAAATGCATTTTCACTATATTATCAATAGAGCCCCGCCCTTACACCGGAACCCCTGGCCCTGGGGCCATGAAATTCACAATTTTGGAAGAGGCATTCTTGCTCATCATAACTATGTACTTAGTTTATTTAATACCCAGGAGCAGAAAAGAAGATTTTCAAAGAAATAATGCATTTTCACTATATATTCTATATAGCCCCTCCCTAGCACTAAAACCCCTGACCCTGGGGCAATAAAATTCACAATACTGGAAGAGGCACTCTTGCTCGTCATAACTATATAATTTTTTAGTTTATTTTGTACTCAGAAGCAGAGAAGAAGATTTTCAAAGAATAAATGCATTTTCACTATATAATCAATAGAGCCCTGCCCTTACACCAGAACCCCTGGCCCTGGGGCCATAAAATTCACAATTTTAGAAGAGGCACTCTTGCTCATTATAATTATGTACTTAGTTAGTTTATTTAATACACAGGAGCAGAGAAGAAGATTTTTAAAGAAATAATGCATTTTCACTATATAATCTATACAGCCCCGCCTTAGCACTTGAACCCCTGACCCAGTGGCCATGAATTTCACAATTTTGGTAGAAGACTCAATCCTCAATACATTCATGCCAACAGTTTGCCTGCTTGATGTTCCGGAGAAAAGAAGACAATTTTTAAAGATTGCACTAATTTTAGTGGTTTTGGCACCACCCCCAGGCCCCCGGGGGGGGGGGGGCAGGGACCATGAAATTCTTGATTTATGTTTCCCTTTACCCATAGATGCTGTATACGAAATTTGGTTGAAATTGGTTCAGTGGTTTAAGAGAAGATGTTGAAAATGTTCAAATGTTAACGCACGACGGACGATGGACGAAAACGGATAGAATAGGTCACCTGAGTTACTCAGGTGACCTAAAAATCACTGAAATTAGCCCGCATTAAACATTTCATATTGTATACACTCATAAAAATAAAAGAAATGGCTGAAATTGGTAATTGCAATAATTATTGCGTTTAATCGCAATAATTATTGCGTTTAAGCAATAATTATTGCGTTTAAACCCAAAACACTGGTTAATCTCAATAATCATTGCGTTTAAACGCAAAGTACTTTGCGTTTAATCGCAATCTTTTGCGTTTAAACGCAATACTTTTGCGATTAAACGCAATACTTTGCGTTTAAACGCAGTAATATTTTTGCGTTTAAATGCAATAAAATTTTTGCGTTTAATGGCAATAATTTTTGCGTTTAAACGCAATAATATTGCGGTAAAACGCAATAATTTTTGCGTTTAAACGCAATACTTTTGCGATTTAACGCAATAAGTTTTGCGTTTAATCGCAATAATATTGCGTTTAATCGCAATGATTTTTTTGCGTTTAATTGCAATATTTTTTTGCTTTAAACGCAATCAAGTTTTGCGTTTAATCGCAATACACATGTAATTTTTGTATTTAAATGCAAAGATTATAATATATACTACAGTCCGATTCTTTAAAGAAGAGCCGATTCGTTTTGTGTTTTTTTGAAAATGTTGCAGTTTGTGAGATTTAAAGTTTAGCAATGGCATCTTAACAACCAACTTTCTTAGAGCTATTAGAGCCCAACACTGTTAACGCAGCCATTAATCAATTCCTGAGGTATTACAGCTAATTAAGAATGTTTCAGTGGTATTAATAGACATATCAATTTGGTAGAAAACATCGGCCAATCTGTTTTCATTTGATTTATTTTTGATTTCATATGATTCCATCTCATAAATTCTAATGTGCTCGTGTTTACTGTATGTGATCAAAGGAAAGGTTGTGAATATACATATACATAATATGTACATAAGTCGAAATATTTTATCAGTTGTTTCCTTAAGCCCTTTATACAGGTACAGCCTTTTAAACCAATACAAATGATTTAACCATTCAGAAAATCCTTGTTCAGAAGAATCTGATTCTATAAAGCTTAACTAAACACAATTCTCCTCATAGGTTACTACATATCAGCGTGGGTCCATTGCACTCTTCAAAGATCAATAGAAATGATTGCTTTTAAATATAAAGATTATTGCGTTTAAATGCGAAAAAATATTGCGTTTAATCGCAATATTATTACGATTAAACGCAATAATTATTGCTATTAAACGTAAAAATATTATTGCGTTGAATCGCAATAATTATTCGTTTAAACGCAAAACATTGCGTTTAAACGCAAAGTGCTTTACGTTTAAACGCAATGATTATTGCGATTAATTGCAATGTTTTACGTTTTAAACGCAATAATTAGTGCGATTAAACACGTGTTGCGTGTAAACGCAATAATTATTGCGATTTAACGCAATAAGAAATATTTTTCTCTGAACTGGCCTCAACGGGCTTCCGTAAAAATCTTCTTTATAACTGTATTTTTCTAAATTTTCAAGGGAACTTTCGTATTTTTATATGCTCTGTTTATATTTTTTATATTTAATTTATGTTCATATATTTATAAGAAGATATAAATTTAATTAAACAAAACGTACCGTTTCTATCGTTAACTAAAAGAATTGGGTGGTTTTGATCAAATCCGTACTTAGATTGGAAGCATGCAAAAGCTAACAAGATCATAGTTTGTTTGGAGAAAAATATCTGTTGTTTTTTTTTCTTCAAATCTTTAGTGAAAATATTTTTAGTTACATAAAAATGTTTTTTTTTCTTTTTCATTTCTCATTATTTTGAGCGAAACTTGTTTTGAGATAGCTGAATGTATTTTAAATATTTCATATAGTCAGAAAACAGATAAAAATTCCTCCTTAATTACAATTACAATTTATTACAATAAAAATATAAATAGCTGATTGTTTCTATTATCGCGTTAGGTGAACCGATCTACAGAAAAATATACAGGTACATGTACAATGTACGAATACATATAAATGTACATTTATAGAGAAAAAAAAAGTATTCTTGAAGTAAAGGTGTAAAATTTCCTAAATTTAGGGGACACATCGCTCACCTGGGCAACTGGCTAGGTAAAAGCAAAAATCAGTTCAGTATTGAAAAGTTTAAATATAAAAGTGGGATAGGGGGAGTGTATTTGAACACACTTAAATCTACACTTCCTTAGGATGCTTTTGAATTATTGTCACACATAATGATTTTGCTGCTTAAAAGATGCATTTATTTTTAAATTTATAAAGCCTTTATATTAATTTTCATCTTTACTGGCCCAATGATTCTTGTGAAGAAGAATTTTAAAGATTTTTTCTTTATATTCCTATGATACCCCATTTTGGCCCCACCCGACCACTGGGGATCATGATTTGAACAAATTTGAATCTACACTACCAGAAGAGGCTTCCATATGAGTTTCCTCTGTGCTGGCCCTGTGGTTCTTGATAAGCTTTTTAAAAGATATCATAAATTTACTAGTATCACTAATTCATAATTATTTCCCTTTAGAAGAAGGCGTGACCCTTCATTGAACAAACTTGCATTCCTGTCACCCAAGGATACTTTGTGGCAAGTTTGGTTGAAATTGGTCCAGTGGTTCTTGAGAAGAAAGATGAAAATGTGAAATGTTTACGACAACGACGACGACAGACAACGGACAAATTTTGATCAGAAAAGACACCTTTAAAACATTTTTTTTTTTAATTTCAGTAATAACCTAAACAGAAAAAAGCTTGTATAACTTTATTGTCATAAAATTAACAATTGAAAAAAAGAAACATTTACATAAATGTTGATGCAACACAGATTGTAGACAATGCATTAACATTTTAAAAGGTAGTAAACAAAAAAAAAAAAGCTGGCTTGAAAGATTACTGTATAATTGTTCATTTACGAATCTGGAATGTTGATAAATTGTAGATCGTAATATGTGTAGGCCAGGAAAAACTATACCTCTGCATAAATTAAATTATTTGGAAGAATTTAAATCGCTAAATAAATGAAAAGCTTTTAAGTTATTACTGGCACATCTCTTAGGTCTTTGAAATCCAGTTTTGTTCTTTTGGGGACCGAACTAGAAGTCTTCGCAATTCCAATACGATTCACATTTACTTAAGTGAACTCTTCCATGTTATCCTACATTACTATAAGGCCTCCGTGTCAAAAACATGAAAACATTCTAAGCTTGTAAAGAGTGCTATAAAGATGTGTATATTAAATTGCAATGTTCGAAGACAACGACTGTAAGCAGAGGCAATAATATACGTAAATAATTGTCTGAATGGCTCCACTCTGCAAGCTTCAATCCGAGGTTCTTTTGAAGACTCGAACGCATTTGACGTCTCCAACATACATGGTCTGAAAAGGAGATAATAAAAACGAACATTTATTACATTGTTGGACGATAAATGGTGTCCATCAACATTATCTAAGATGGCAAAAAATCACGTATATTGGCTAACATTCTTTTAACTGTCATGTTTTCTTAAAGTAATAGTTTTGAAGAATTATTTCATTTTGTAAGCTAAATCTTCAGCTAGCTACTATTTTTACGCGAGGTACGAAATGAAAGGGACTTCACGTTGCTAAATTGTCACGCTCTTCCAATAATTATCTTACACCATAGTAATAATGTTCATGATACCTTCCTCACCTGCACGAGTTCATCATTACTGATTTCTCTGATAAATTTCTGTGGTTTTCCTTTTCCTTCAGCGATAGGGTTTGCTTCTGTTATAATCTTGCCATTTTCCCAGCGAGACATGCACTGTAAAAAGCACTAGACGTGTATATGGTTTAAGAAAAAAACAGATACCGACGTAATCTTTCTGCTGTAAAGGGCTGTTTAATTACGCTCTCTGAATAATAAACAAATTTTGGGATAGAAGTAATTCAAACTTTCAAGAATTGTGAAGTGCAACTTCTTTGCATTTCTCTTAACAACCTAGACCTCCAAAACAGTGTAATTCTTTTGAAGTAAATTCACTATGGCTTATTTTATTATTTCAGATAGCTTTTTGAACTTGGAAAATCACTTTGAAGTATTCTGGATAAAGAACATCTGATTAAGTCTCAAAATTCTATAACAAGTACCCTTTTTCCTGTATAATTGATTTTTTTCTTAAAAGAATTCATGAAAGACAACAGCATATAACGTACATTCATCTCAAGACCCTCATAGTTTTGTTGGTAAGGTTCATCAAGCTTGAAGGAAATGACTTGATTGAAGAAGCTGACTTTAGACACGATATTGACTGTTTCATTCTCAATCTTTATTTCGATCACCGGGTTGGCAGCACCGGCCATTTTACGAAAAACCACATTGAGTCCTGTCGAATAAAACAGCATGATTTTTATCATTTACAGTCTCTAAGGCAATATAACACTGTTATTGGATAATGTCAAATATGTATCTTTATGGTTTTTCTCATTCATAATTGAGGGAAAAAGTGCCAGAATTTACACCCACTCATACACTTCTTTTAATTGACACGTCAGTATAAAAGTTTGAATTGGCTTACCAATTTCAGACTGTGGTTGAAGTAGATAAGCTTAACATATTGATCAAACTTAATGACAATAGAAAAGTACCCCTGTAGCACTATTGACTCTACCTTTGAAAGTTACATAACATTTGGGGTTGGCAGTTATTAACGGAAAAAATTTATCTAGTGTCTCAAAATATTTAAGTTACTGCAAAATGTCAATTCGTTTAGATAAATATGCCTTGAAGATTTCCTGTGGGTTTGTTTGTAATGATTAGATTTATTTTACATATTGATCATAAGGAGTAATGACGAAAGGCAATTATGGCAGGAAAAAATGAATGATGATGCAGACACTTTTTCAAGAGAACCGCAGCAGTGGGTATTGGATAGTATAAGGATTTAGTCAACAACCTATATAATGCCATAATTAGTTCGATGATCTGCACATTAGACAGATGGCTCTAATAAGTGAAGTCTACTGAAATTAACATGAACAATTATATTCAATCTTTTCTCTCACAGTGGTTAAACGGCCATTAACAAATGGAATCCCTTGGCGCGTAAGACCCTTTAGCACAATGTTCTGTAAACACGCCAATATATTGCTATAATAATATTTTGTAGAAAGCCAATGTAGTTTAAGCGGTGGATTATCTTGTGGAAATTAGTGAATGTCAAACTGATAAATAAATTGGTTTATTAAAAACAACTACACAGACATGGTAAACATTTCTAGACCGAAATTTCATTTATAAAATCCCGAGAACAAGAAGTATGATAGAACTTGATTACATGCAAAACGTTTCCTTTGGTAACCCAAACAAATTTCATTTCGTATGCAAGTTGGTAAAGTGACGTACACTGTACATGTGTAGACAGAGAGGGAGACAACGGGAATGGTCCTAAAACAATGTTACCATGTGGGTTAATTTGGCTCAATGTGATGATTTCCATTTGGCCCTCTTCATAAAACGTATTGTTTATATGTTTCACTACGACTTAAGATGCATGGAATGATTCCACACGTATAATCTATCACATAGATCTCAAGTATTCTTCGTCTTAATTACATTATAGACAAGTAACATGCTAGTCATGTTACATTATCGAGATGCAATCACTTTAATGTTTGGTATCCTAATTGAATCAATGGTTCTGCATTGCCGAGAAACACGTTATAAAATGTTTTAATTTATCTTCTTCATTTAAGTAATACATTTTATGATTATGTTACCTAATTCTTTACGGTGTACGCTTCAGAGAACAAAGCCAAACATTACACATGTGCTCTTATATCGGTACTACCTAAAATTCAATTTCGCACAATAAATCAACAAGTTTAAAATTTGGTGAAAAGGCTTTTTTTAAAGCATAAAGGTCAAGGTCACAATGTCATTCACCTTGATATCATTTGAATGAACTAAATTAGTGAAGTATGCATACTAAATATGAAGTCACTTTCTCCTATGGTTCAAAAGTTATTGCGAAAGTTCGAAAAAGCTATTTTAGCTTATAGGTTACAGTCAAGGACACTCGGTCGACCTTGGAGTCATTTGAAAGAACTTAATTAGTGGAGTATGCTTACCAAATATGAAGTCTTTATCTCTCACGGTTCAAAGGTGATGGCGTAGGTCAAAGTTGCCAGCAGACAGATAGACAGGACAAAAACAGTATACGCCCCGGATCTATCGATTCGGGCGCATAAAAAATTTTTTTGCCAATTTTAATGTACACCTTTTCCCTTATACAAATAATGATCTTTCAAAGCAGGTAATTTCAAAAGTACTGTAGTGAAATACATATGAATATATTATCATTAAAAAGGCGAATGTTATTTGCTTAAACATTTTATTGCATAATTACAGGGAAAACAGAAAAAAAAACTTTCGCACATTTTACTTAAATTCCGAAAACATTTTTAAAAAATAATGCATCGATTAAAGCGCGCCAGACATAGTACATCATAGTTTGGGAGAAAGGCAATGAGAAACAATTGAACATGACATAAACATGTTTTCTGCATCACATAATCATTAACGACTTTAAAGATACGTATCCCTGTGCAGCTTTTAAGAGGTTACCCTGTTTCTGACACATATTTTGCTCTCATTTTCGCTTTAGAACTGCTTGCTGGGTTTTGTACATCTTACTTTTATTGTAATTTCAATAATTTGAGAATTTTAAGCTTCTTAATTATCATCTGATGATAAAATTTAAGAACATGATAACGGTATCTATTTTATAATTGTTATGTTCACTTAACAAATATACCGATTATATTAATGATCTTGTCCATAAAAAAAGAGAATGGGCTTAGTGCAGAGAATATCATCATTGAATAACAAACATACATACACATACTGAGACGGCATGAACATTGATGTTAGATACGAGAGATAACGGACTGAAATATAAAAGTATGCCGATAATTACATTAATTTCTGAAAAGAAGTAACACATGGCTAGGGTGTAGCGCCCATAGAGAGTTTGGTAAAGATCGTTGTAATAAATGAGGCTTGAAGGGGTGGGTTTTAAATTTTCGTTATATTTCTAAGCAATCATTTTCTCATTTAGAGATAGTAAAATGTGTATTTCATTGAAGTGCGTTTTTGAAATTTCAAAGAACTGCATTACATATTCCCCTATACTCACACAGATATATAAATTTCAATTAGCTTCAGCGAACTTGTAAAATTACACTGGAGAACATAAATATATTTCAATGCCATCCATCCATCAAAATTAACACATCATAATTATTGATCGTGCTTTTGACCATTAATTAACATCCAATATGATTTTCGTCTGCATTGGACATATTGATATAATTGATTTAAAATGTGTAAAAAAAAAAAAAAAAACTGACATATTCTGTAACTCAGTATTTTCTTTTCAATAAAATGTTTACTAATCACTTTGATAATTTAAAGAATTTTAAGATAATTTTCTAAATCTCCAATACTACAATTTACACGGTACTTACCCAGTTCTTTTAAAAACTCATCAAAGTTTTCACTTCGATCGAGTTTCCATTTACCACCAAGCTGTGATTGAATTTCAACAAGAGCCATCTCTCATTCTATGTAAAACGCGCCTGACTGAACCAATATCCGTTCAATAAATTTTCAAATTCTGTCTTTTACAGGAATTTGCGATAAAATATTGCACCTGGAAAAACCTTGCACGTATTAATGACCAAGTCCATCCATAGAAATTTTGTTTTGAGAATACCAGTAGCAAAATAAATTGCAAAAAGGATGAACATTAATAGAGAATTTGTATAGTAAACGTACTTTATAGTTCCAATGTCGTGTCAATATTTAGTGTATGGATATCATGCAGCCAATCAATGTAACCGTAAGATTAGCGCTTTACATCGATTGGTCCGGAGCAGAGCATGCGACTGTGCATAAAACTCATTGATAAAAAATAAAATATAGCGGGTAGCTATTTTCATGGCTTGCTAAGACAGAAATTATGTTCTTAAAGGAGAGGATGTCGCGACCACATACCGTAGCAATTTGACAGCAAATCGTTTAAATGGAGACAGAATTTAATCACGGAAGATTTTTTTTTCTTCATGTGTCAGCAGTAAATAGTATTTTGTTTCTACACGAAGGCATGTTTTGAAATAACGCCTTCTTAGAGTTATTATGTTAGTTAAACACCATGATCTTCTTGACCGATACACTACACTCTTATTAAGATACTCAAGCACTGACTAAGCAAACAGAAAAGGGAAAAAAAACCAATGTCATCTCAACAAATAAAAGAAACAGGTAAAAAGTGATGATTTGTATCATATTTAGTTTTACGTCAATATTTTTATTGTAAAGCTACGCAACACATCCTTCTGGAATATTGATTTTGTACAAGGAGCTTTCCTTTTTTAGACGAAAAACAAAACTAAGTACATGTATAATATTTAAATCGATAGTTATGTTTTTGCTTTACAAAAAATGATTATTGAGAGGACGCGGATTAATTACTTCTATATTTTTTTTTAAATCGCTACCCTTACATTCAATGTGTGTGTATTTTTAAGAAATTATTTTTTTCAAATTAAGAAATGAATTTACTAACAAAGAGTTTTTAAAAAGAGGTCTTGACATAGAACTTATTATCTTGTTTAAATTAATGAGCGTTTAATTTTTTCAACTAAAATTTAATGACCAAAATATGACTTTTTAAAGTAATAATGCCTTGGAAAATATATCTAAAGACCATAGTATATGCTTCCTCCTATAAGGGTACAGTAAGAGGCTTAATTAAAACACAACAGTTCACGCATTGATCTCCTAATTTGAGTTTTAAAATTTGGAAAGTTCGCATCTCCGCAGAAGGACATGTGACTTTAAGTAATACAAAATGTTCCTGTCGCCCACGTGGTGCAGTGGTTAAAACGTTTGCTGTTTAGACAAAATCACCGGGAATTTTCGGGTGATCTCATCCTTTACCACCAGCGGTAATCGTCATTTACATGTAATATGTCAAAAAAAGTTTAAAAAACCCTCGATTTTTCATAATTATAACAATTAGAAAGTTTGAAATCTATTAATTTTGAAAATATGTTAATTATAGTTTGCTTTATATACCTTGAAGCGCGTTATACATGTAATGAGCAATTTTTTTTTCAATTGACAAATGCACTGCTTGGTGGATTTGTTTGCATTCGGTGAGTGTTTAACTATATACGTCGTCATTACCGACGTAATGACATACCACGTAATATAAAGCGTGATTCGTAGAACTGCAATCGCTATTCTGTGCGGCTGATTCCGTTAATATTATGAATGACAATTGTTTTTATGTTCTATTACGTCCCATTCGAGAATTTTTCAGTCATACAGAGACGTTATCATACACCGGTGAAGGGCATCAAATTAGGACATTTCATCGACATTAGCCGCTGACTTATTTGAAGATTCTCGACGTTAAACAACAAACAAAAATTAAAATTTCGTAATTCTCTTCTAAGCACAAATTGATTTGATTCTGATCAAGCATTATATGAAAATCGTTTCCAACTACATATAATAAAAAGTTATAATAATTGTTCTTTTATATGTATCACGTCATCATGTTTCATGTTCATAAAAGTGTTCGTCTCTTATTCAAGGGCCATTTAAACGTCCCACTATGCTCTTTTATCAAGGCAATATGAAATTGAAGTGTAGGTTACATTAATGTGTGAGAATTATGAGATCGTGCAATGTCTCCAGGAATATAAATAGCATTTTATGAAACCAAAATTTTCCACGATTTCCTGTCTTGATACCAATCTTTCACAGAATCAAATTGTAGCTTTCGAAATCTGAGAACTGATTTCTGTAGCTTCATATAGTCAGTATGTAATAATGGCAATGCCTCCTTCGTACAACAAAACACTCTTGGAATGTAAACGAGTAGTTTGGATCAAACTGATAAACACATTATTGATTGCCAAGAAAAAATTATACACCAAGACTTGTATTTCATAACAACGTACCCAAAACGCCTTTAGTGTCGTCTAAGTATGACAGAAAACTGTAAAGGTTCCATATATTAAATTATAAAAAAATGTTTTTTGATTATTTTAATATTGTTTAACGTCCCTCTCGAGAATTTTTCATTACATTTACCAGTGGACTGCAAATTTTGTCCTCAACCCGGTACTCACGTTTATTGAGCAAAGAGAGATCTTTTTTCGTGCCAGAACCTACTTTGACACGGGACCTCGGTTTATACGGTCATCCCAAGGACCGGTGTCGCATAATATTTGGTCCGCCTCGTTTCAAGGTCCGGCCGGACCAAATACGATAACATATTAGGTCCGCCTTTTATAAGAAAAGGTCCGGCCCGTATAAGAAAAGGTCCCCCTACGTTTTAAGGTCCGGGTGGTGCAAAATGTTTTTAATCTTGACTTCAACATATGAAATTAAAGAGAATCACTTTATACTATACGATAAGAAGGATTTACCCTGTTGTGTTTTATTTTTTGTACAACATACACGTATCTCTACACTAGTGTAGACAAGAATCTACTCGTTTAGTGTGCTTTGAGCATTGCTGTTTAGGACCATAATTTCTTTAAAAATAATGCCATAATTATTGTGCAAGTGTTTGTTTTTCCTTGGAATTTACTTTGTGTAAATTAGTACGATTAAAGGTGTGAAATCTGTCGGTGTGTATAGCTAATAAAACAATGGGGTGTGACGTATTTGTTTACCTGCGCGACAGGTACCCACAGGTAGAGCCCGCGGCAGATGGCGCTGTCATTGAATGGTCGGTGAACCTAATGGTCATGTGTTAGCTTTATATATCAATAGATTTGAAGTTTTCAAATTAATAAATTATGCTAGGGAACAAAATATTCATGCGTACACTTCAAAACTGCGACATTTATAATAATTATAATTGTATAGTCTTTATTTGAATATTTAAAGCTAAATATGGCGTATCATAATCTGAGCTAAAATTTAAAATTTACTAGATTAAGCGTATAATATTTTACATGAGATTTGATATTTGTGTTCAAATTAAAATTTTCACCGATATTGAACTTAAATATACCCACGTTTCTATTAGTTAAATTCAAACTAATTGAATTAAAAACTGTGTCTGATATTTAAATTCCGAGTCGATAAGAATCGGTCATTGTTTTAAATCTCTGCTATCTATACATGAAATGCAATTGATTTAAATTTCGGTAATGGAAAATTTTAAAGAATAAATTATAGACTGTTTAGTAAATCAAATGTCTTAGACATAAGTTCGGCGTAGTTTTTGACATTTGATTTAGTAAACATTAAATGCGATGAAAAAAATTCTGTTAACTAGACTTAGTGCTTCATGTACAGATGTGTACATACTCGTATAAACAAAATTTTCATATTAAAAATGTTGTGTACAATATTTTTTTTTTTTTCAAAATTCCTTTTCTACGTACATGTACCTGGTAAACATTAAATTACCGGAGAGGTACCTAGCAAAAATTCCGGAAATGAAAAGAAATAAATGTCGGGGAAAAAAGAGTAATTGTCGGAAATAAAATAACGAAATGTCGGAAATGAAATGCAGCGGTTCTTTCTATATATATAAGAAAGATCTTTTAAATATTGATAGTCTTAACTTATAAAAAAAAAACGCCTTATATGATTTAAAGAAATTCCTTATCCCTTGAGTGTGGAGTTTAATACTACATGAAAGATCGATAAAGAGTACATGTAATTCTCTGGTTTCCTGTAGTCTTCACATATACCTTTTGTTTTCTGTTTATAATCATATTTTGCGAAAAATTGTTTATAATTATTTATCTTACGCCTGTATGAAAAGGATAGGCCTGAGGGGGAAGTTTTTATAAGTTCTCGTCTCAAAAATAGAAGAAAAAAATAAAGCATACATGTATTTACAGTTGGATCCAGCATTGCATCACTTGACCCTCTTCATATGTTGTGTATCAAGTATTTTTTAATTTTGAATTTCTGCAGACCCCCCCCCCCCAACTTCACCCCAGCCCGCAACAGTACCCAGAAATAGCCAAAGCGCATTTGATAGGCATTTTCGCCTACACTATAAGTGGTTTTTTTAATTACATTGCTTAACCTAAATTTTGTCATACAATCTTAGTTTACACATGCATAAAACCAAATCACACAATAATGATATGCCAATGTTAATACTTCCCTCATATGAAAAATATAACAAGAGGCCCAGGGGCCACATCGCTCACCCGAGCAAATCGTCTAGGAAAAAACACAAATTAAATCAGATCAGAACTGAAAAGTTTACTTAAGAGAGGGGTGTGTGTGCGTGTGAATTTAATACTACTTTAGAATGCCTTCATGTTAATATGTAGCATATGACTTTGCTGTTCTTGATAAAAAGATTTTTAAAAAACAATTTCTTCCTATACTATCACGAATCATTGCTTTGAAGTACTTCAGAAGATGATTTTTATAAAGATTTTTCCTATATATTCCTAAGTAAAACTTTGATCAGCCATTGTGCCCCCACTCTACCCCCGGGGGTCATGATTTGAGCAAACCTGAATCTACACTATATGAGGATGCTTCCAGATGAGTTTCATTTTTCCTGGCCCAGTGGTTCTTGAGAAGAAGATTTTTAAAGATTTTCCCTATATACTCCTATGTAAAACTTTGATCGGCCATTGTGGCCCCACCCTACCCCCGGGGATCATGATTTGAACAAACTTGAATCTACACTATATGAGGATGCTTCCAGATGAGTTTAATCTTTTCTGGCCCAGTGGTTCTTGAGCTCAGGTGAGCTAAAAATTATCCAGTTTGTATGGAATATACTCAGCAATACATATTGAGGTATCCACCTAACGATGACAATTTGTTGCCAAAGAGGCCCCCCCCCCCCCCTTAACAAGAAAAAAACAACTTTTGAAAAATTTTATTTGGATATGTCTGCTCTTCATTCCATTTAGATAATTTTGATTAAAGGTGGTCTTTGCTCATTAATTGCGAAGGAAATTTTATACGGGGTTTATTTTCGTATACCATAAGAATCAGAGAAAGTGACATGACTGACTTAAAGTGCAGCATAATATAAAAGGTCCGCCCTCTGTGTTTCAGATATCTGTATGTTATGAAGGGAAATTTTTGGGCAGGGTTTATCTTCGTACCTTAAAAACTAGAGAAAGAGACAGGGCGGACCTTAAAACGCAGTTATCAGAAAAGGTCCACCCTCTGTATTTCAGATATTTTCATGTCATGAAGGAAAATTGTTGGACAGAGTTTTTTTTCATAGCTTAAAAACACGAGAAAGAGACAGGGCGGACCTAAAAACACAGTTATCAGAAAAGGTCCGCTCTCTGTATTTCAGATATCTTCATGTCATAAAGAGAAAGATTTAGACAGGATTATTTTTGTACATCAAAAAACTAGAGAAAGAGACAGGCCGGACCCTAAAACTCAGTTATCAGAAAAGGTCCGCCCTCTGTATTTCAGATATCTTTATGTTTTAAAGGAAAATTTTTGGACAGGGTTTATTTTTGTAGCTTAAAAACACGAGAAAGGGACAGGGCGGACCTTAAAACGCAGTTATCAGAAAAGGTCCGCCCTCTGTATTTCAAATATCTTTATGTCATAAAAGGAAATTTTTGGACAGGGTTTATTTTCGAAGCTTAAAAAACTAAAGAAAGGGACAGGGCGGACCTTAAAACGCAGTTATCAGAAAAGGTCCGCCCTCTGTATTTCAGATACCTGTATGTAATAAAGGGGAATTATTGGACAGGGTTTATTTTCGTAGCTTAAAAAACATGAGAAAGAGACAGGGCGGACCTTAAAACGCAGTTATCAGAAAAGGTCCGCCCTCTGTATTTCAGATATTTTCATATCATAAAGGAAATTTTTGGACAGGGTTTATTTTCGTAGCTTAAAAAACACGAGAAAGAGACAGGGCGGACCTTAAAACGCAGTTATCAGAAAAGGTCCGCCCTCTGTATTTCAGATATCTGTATGTTATGAAGGGAAATTTTTGGACAGGGTTTATTTTCGTAACTTAAAACACGAGAAAGAGACAGGGCGGACCTTAAAACGCAGTTATCAGAAAAGGTCCGCCCTCTGTATTTCAGATATCTTCATGTTTTAAAGGGAAATTTTTGGACAGGGTTTATTTTCGTAGCTTAAAAAACTAGAGAAAGAGACAGGGCGGACCTTAAAACGCAGTTATCAGAAAAGGTCCGCCCTCTGTATTTCAGATATCTGTATGTTATGAAGGAAATTTTTGGACAGGGTTTATTTTTGTAGCTTAAAAACTAGAGAAAGGGACAGAGCGGACCTTAAAACGCAGTTATCAGAAAAGGTCTGCCCTCTGTATTTCAGATATCTGTATGTTATGAAGGGGAATTATTGGACAGGGTTTATTTTCGTAGCTTAAAACACGAGAAAGAGACAGGGCAGACCTTAAAACGCAGTTATCAGAAAAGGTCCGCCCTCTGTATTTCAGATATTTTCAAATCATAAAGGAAATTTTTGGACAGGGTTTATTTTCGTAGCTGAAAAAACTAGAGAAAGAGACAGGGCGGACCTTAAAACGCAGTTATCAGAAAAGGTCCGCCCTCTGTATTTCAGATATCTTCATGTTTTAAAGGGAAATTTTTGGACAGGGTTTATTTTCGTTATTTATTATTTATTTCGTTATTATTTGGCCGATGATAAAAAGAAATCAAAATAGCCTCTTACAGTCATAGAAAAATCTAACGTTAACCAAGTAGTTACAACGAAGTCATGATATTAAAAGACTATTTCTATTAAATTTATTTTTAAAAAAAATTGTATGCGATTTAAGTTTCTCTTTAATATGTATTGGTTGAAAAAATTCTCCCTATAGCTAGTAAAACAGTGGAAAGGGAGAAAAAAAATCTGAAGCAGTATTTCTCTGGTGGAAAATCAAGTCGAGATTGTTTGTTAGATGCTAACGGGAAATTCAAGTATGCCAGGCTTCTGAAATTGGGGGTGTCTTTAAACTCATGCTCTTTTTTTTCTGGGGCGTGTGTGTGTGTGGGATATATATGTACAATACCGATATTCTTCAATATTTTTAATTTTTTGACACGTATCCGCGTAATTTTACTACGCCCCCTCCCCCGGGCCCGCGCCAAAAAAAAAAAACATTTAGGAGGGGCGTATAAAATGTGCGGATTTTTATTGAAACCGAGAGACATAAGTATAAATATATTATTAATGCACAGAGATTTTATATGATCGACATGTATATTAAATATGAATAATAAAGGCATTTATAAACCCAGCAATCTATCGACTGTTGTTTGATTTCGCCAATTAATGCACATTTACCTGGAGTAATACATGTTTTAGTGGGCCGCATTTCATTTCCGGAATTTTCAACAAAAAAAAAGAAAAATATTACTTTTCATTTCCAACAGTTTTTACATTTTAAACGTTTTCATCTCCGACATTTGTCAAATTCATGTCAGTAATTTTTCGGCAATGAAAAAAAAAATCATACTTCCGTCATAAATAATATCATATAATACATATATACAATAACTTGTTAAAAATCTATTTCCATCTTTGTTATATATGTTAACCTTAAAGTGCCATACAGGTATCTTTAAAAAATCCAAAAATGTGAAAAAAAAAAATAATGTCGGAAATGAAAATAAAAATGTCGGATTCCGAAATAATAACAAAAATTGTCGGAAAATGCAATGCAAAATTCAGGAAATGAAATGCAGAGATCTAGTAGATTTAATTATTAGCCTTTGAATAGGTAAGAAACAGTGTTAACTTATAAAAACACAGGGCATATGGTACTTTAGGTTTTCTCAAACGAGACAATTATAGACTAACCCCCAACTGCCCAATCCGCAGGCATGTTGTTTTTACAATAATGGGTGTAGGGTAGTACACCGTGACATAAGCCCCTGTCACAGTGACCCCCTACTTATTGACAACAATATTAAACGTAAAGAATGACAGATTTTTTTTAATACTATAAAGAAATATATTTTGAATGATGTGAATTTTTTGCGAGTGGAAGTCGGAAGTTTATCATGTACTTATTGGAAAGAGAGTGTAACTAAATGATTCGTGTTGGACTTACGAACATTCATCTGTTCATTACATACTGATTAATTTGCCAGTAAACAGGCGGTGAAGGTAAATGTATGTACATTTGTATTCTTAATATTTTTTAAACGATAATGTTGATACCTAGATACCAGTGTATTTAAACGATAAAATAAGCATGTCCCATCTTCCCGATAGGAAACTCGATGAATAAATCTATACATTTCTTAAATAAATATATTATTTATGTATTAATTTCTTACTTATTGTTTACTACATTCTCTTGGAGGAAACACTAGCTATTAATACGACTTTAAGTATATCCTCAATTAATTTTAAAACAATAGTTTTTCAATTAATATCGAATAAACACAGGCATACAATTTGTATAATAGGCCGAGGGCGGACCTTTTCTTATAGAGCCAGGCGGACCTAATATGTTATCGTATTAGGTCCGGCCGGACCTTTAAACGAGGCGGACCAAATATTATGCGACACCGGGCACCCAGAAAAACTTCGCTATATCCGTGAATTCGCTATCAAACCTGTTCGGATTGGCTAACATCTTTGATATAAATAAAAAAAAGATGACTCGGATATTTTACAAGTTTGAATAAATAGTCTATAAGATATGAATTCTTTTGTCTTAAACAATGAAATATGTTCAAATCAGATGGGAATGCACTATATCTTTATTTAGACCTTCCAACCCGAGAGGTGAAGAGACTTAGAATGCATTGAAAATAAACATCCATTTAGATAAAGATTTTTCGACATGTGTTGACCTGACCAGCTTCATTCTTGCTGTTTTGCTGGACTGAAACATTAATGATGTATTCGAAATTGGTGAATTGTTATGTAACATGTAATGCATAATGTGATAGACATCGAGACCTTTGCTCTTGCATGTTTGGGTGTTTATAATATGTTTCTATTAATACCATCCAATTGTGAGTTGCAAACCGTGAGAATTTTCCAAGGTCGAGTTATCAGAATTTTACTGAACTAATCACATTAATTGACCAAAAAGTCTTAACTAAATCTAGTACAGTTGTTAAACGCCATGACGTTAGGCAGCAACAGATCGTTTTTTGTGAGATGCAAACTATGATCCATCATTTAAAATACTATTGGCTCATTATCAATACCTTACAACTTGCTTATATATCTGCTTTTAAGGATTAATATGCACATTCATATGTGTATATATTCATGAAAGTAAATTTCACGCGTAATTCCACGATGATATGGAAGAAGAACGTTTTTTTCCACCCTCTGAAAAATGGCAGAAAAAATTATGTACTCAGTTTTCAATTGAGCACAAATTAACACCGGATTTATATCAAAGTAAGGAAGAGCCATTAGGTACACCAACCAGTTTTCGTCAAGTCCAAGGAGATGGAAATTGTTTATTTCGTGCCCTTGCTTATGCCATCTCGGGCGATGAGGAGAATCAAAGAAATTTCAGATCGCTAATCGTGTCTCATTTGCCTGAGAGTGAATCGTGGGTTTTACAAAATGAAACGGCAGACAAATATCTTGAACGAACTAAAATGTCGGAAGATAAAAAATGGGGTACTGAGGTGGAACTTTATACAGCTGCATCTCTGTTTAGAACTCGGATATTTGTATATTCAAAATATGGACCATATTACAAATGGCTAGTATTTAAACCCTTGAATGACAAAACTATCTATACGCATGATTCCATCTATCTGTACCACAGAAGCGAGTGTCATTATGACGTCGTAACAACTGTTAGTGGAAGGATTTCAAGACATGAATCTCATAGTGGAGTGTTAGTTATCCCAGAAGATGTTTCGATTCAGGTATTTTGAATTTTGATGGCTTATTAAAGTATATCACTGTGCTATTAAACTAATTGATGGTAATTCGATCCCTGTATAATAGTAAGAGTCAGTGATTTAGCATGTAATAAAAGGGAAAAGTTTAGGGAAAATTAGGAGAATGTTTTCAGTACTTGTTATTCAATACACAACATAAAATACCTTTATAATTCGGAAAAAGACATAAAGCTTGAATGTATTTTCTTTAATAAATTATTTTTAGAAAAATAAAGAAAAAAGTGAAACAGACAGTACGGAATTGACATTCTTCCGAACTTGCAATTTCTTTTCCTTAAGATTATTCTCTTGAGAATTTTTAAATTGTAGGGTTTTTCCAACTAAATTCATTTATAAAAATAAATTTAAATTTATTTTCTGTTAACTAGTCTAAAATATGTTTAGTGACATAAATAAAAATATACTCCAATGCATAGAGAAAAAAATGATTTAAATCAGATTTCCTTTCCCATAAATATATAATGAAATGGAAAATGCGGTATGATGCATATCCAACATGTTCAAATTGTTGTCCCCCGCTTGAAAAGTGGGGGATATTAATTTGGGTTTGTCCGTCCGTCCGTCCGTCTTTCTGTCTGTCTGTAACGCTTTCGTTTCCACACGATATCTCGAGAACCCTTTGAGCTATCGCAATGAAATTTTACATAATAACTCCCTGTGGCCTAATGAAGACCCCTATTGATTTTAAGGTCAAAAGGTCAAAGTTCAAGGTCGTAAATTTATACATTCTGTCTGTGTGTAACACTATCATTTCCGGGCGATATTTCAAGAAGATTTTGAGCTTATGCAATATAATTTTATACCAAAACTCCCTAGGACCTCTTTCACCCCTCTCAAAGTGCCCCGCCCCATTTGTTTTATTAGTATTTATAGTATTACATGTTGCTATTTTTAGCACAGGGGCATGAGGAGAGTTATTGCGTATAAAACAGGTTCTCGGCGGACTTTATGTTCTTTTTACATCTATTAGAACTGTTTAATAAAGGCTAAATAAATCAAACACCATGGATTGTGTAAAATTTTGAGAATACCGAACATGAATATATACATGTGTGTGACTCCAGTTCCGCATGTACTTCATTTCATGTAAAGCGATTCCGTGGTCTAGTGGTATGTCTCTCGCTTCACATGTGAGAGGTCGCGGGATAGCATCTCGGTCGATCCTTTTTTTTTTTTTTTTTTTACTTTTCTTTTTTTTTTTTTTACTAAATGATAGTATTCAGCATGTGAAATGAAAAATTTATGAGGTTATAAAATCATCATTACAGTGTGATAAATATTCCATATAAAAAGAATCTTCTATACACATAATAAAGAATAAGCAATCAAATCTTTATATGCATATTGACATACATGTAGTTTAGTTGCTTCAGTATACATGTATACTTATTATTCTACAAATTCAGTCCGGGGGATCCGACTTTTTCCCTAAGCGGGGGACACAAATTCTCTGAATTAGCTTGTTCCTTATCTAATGGGACTTCATTTCAATCAGTCTTGAATTAATCACTTGCCTATTGGCCAACCTTTTCAAAGCTGATTGGTTGATAGGCTGAGTGAAAACAAAGAAGCCGTGCTACAAAAATACAGTAGGCGGGGCTTTTAACTGCATTTCCGTACATTGATATCGTGTTTATTGAGGTTGTGAGGGTGTGTGTGTTTTGTTTTACGCATCTTTCAAAATAAAGAACATTAAGAACTAATTTCAGCACAGAGCTATAAACTACTAGCATACATGTATATTTCCTTGGCATGGTATTTTTTAATAACTTCATTTTTTGTGCTATTTTACTGTTTGTCAAATTTCCTACCTAACACTTAGTTACATGTATATGTACATGCTTTCTTCAGCACCAAATAAGACGGCCAGTAAACGAAAAGCATATAATTATGTAAAAGGACGAAGCTCACTTGAATTAAAGGATTAACCTTCATCTGTAAAGGTTTTTTTCTTAAGGACAGATGATACAAATCAAAAAATGGATGCCTGGATTGGTATATATTTTTTGGTCTAATTTCATTGCAAATGATGCAAATAATAAATATCTAAAATAAGAGAAATTGTGAACCTTCTGTGATGTTCAAAAGCCTGTCCTTCTGAAACCACCCTTAATAAGCTATATAAAAATTTTTCACTTTAAATTCCATTTTTGTGCAAATTTGAATAAAAAATATGTGGTGAAACCTGATCATTTTGCTCATTTAAACATTACCTTGGTTGTTATTTTTAAATTATTTGACAAAGGGTTGTTTGTATCATCTGTTCTTAAATAGACACATAATTTCATATTAATTAAATATCATTTAAAACTTATAATAAGAATTTTTTATAGCATGTTGATATTAAATTAGGTGTATGGCGAGGTTATTTAAGAGAGTACTGTACAGGGGACTACTTTCACGGGTTGTAATTTTCACGTTTTTCTCTTCTTTGGCACAATCACGGTTTCTTGAATTCGCGGAAAAGTTTCCTCCCTTATCTATACCTATTGAAAACTTATTCACTGTTTCTTGAATTCACATTCATTAACACCGTGAATATAGCGGATATTAACACCGCGAGTTATTTTTCCCCTATACAGTATATCATCATTTGGTTTTTTTTTCAGAATCATTGGATGGAATAAGTTTGTATCGAAGCTTGATTAACTGAGGAATGCTGTACTCAAAGGGACTGTTTGATTGTTCCGACAGGAATAAAGTAGTCACGTCTGAGTCCCTATGATTTTAGCTTAATTAAGAACCCCGTCTGCTATAGGAATCATGTACACCTCTTTAAGTTAAGAAAGTCATATTTCCTAGCAAAATAGATTTAGAAAATTGTTGCCACCTATCCATAAAATTGTTTCAAGGTTTAAAGGGGGTTCATTATCTTTTTGCTTTGTCAAAAATTACAAAAATTAGACTAAAACATATCTGAGTTGAAAAGGCCCCCCTCACCCCCACCACACCCCCCCCTCTCCCTTACCCTCCCTTACTCACACACCCTCATATAGCATGTATAGTAAGATATTAATTCTGCGGTTGCATAAAACTAGTAGTTGCTTTAAAATTCCTTATGAAATGCATATGCCTAAATTTTTGTCAACATTCACACTAAAAACAACCTGTTTTTTAACAATAAAAAGTTAAAGCTTTAATTCAATGCTTGCATCTAAATAGACGTCTTCTTATTCATGTTTATAGGAACTAGATGATTCCGAAAACAGCATATGTGGAAAATCGATCGTGGAAGAACTTGGAGTTTCTCTCCAAGATCCACTCGGTACCTCTATCGAAAAAATAGATCAGACTAGGCATGTAAGTCCATCAGTCAACGTGAATGACCAGTCAGGGGACCTTTTAGGGACGTCTCTCATTGAGCAACCGGACGAAACTGCAACAAACATACACTGTCTACCGCCAGATCTACCTACGGTAATACGTTAAACGATCAAATACATGCAACTGAATTTCATTTATGGCAATTCAACTCTAAACTATGAAAAAAAAAATAGTGAAAGTCACTGGGAAGACTAGTAAATTTACTGTCCATACAATCACTACCTTAAAAGTAGTTTTACTAGGTATTGGGTCTATTTACTTCTATTATTAGTGAATCTAAGAATTCATAAGTAACTTTCACAAGGTATTTAAGCATCTTAACGACCACTACTCCACTTTTCACTATCTTAGCTAGTACACAGAGTGATTACTAATCACGAAGAACGCTTTACTAGGCACAATAGTTAAATCAACTAGATAATTCTCTTAGTGAACTAGGGACCATGCAGGCATGTCTTTTTCATGATATATTAAACATAAATTCAATTTTACTAAATTTCAGTCCACCATCCATTCTGGTAGTGATCTTTACAGCTTTAATAGTGACGTACGTATTAACGAATATGATTTTATTACTCTTGTTTATTTAGCGACATTATTTCATATGAATTCTCCATGTGAAGCATTTATACCTAAGGTTGGACAACTTCAACAAATTCAAAATCAAGATTATTATGCCCCCCTTCGAAGAAGGGAGGGCATATTGCTTTGCTGCTGTCTGTCGGTCGGTCTGTCGGTCTGTCGGTCCGTCGGTCTGTCGGTCCATTCAGTTTCCGTTCATTTTCTTCATAACCGTTGCCCATACTGAAATGAAATTTGGTATACAGATATATCACATGAATATCTAGGCCAAGTTCTGTTTTGGGTACGATCGCACCATTTTTGACAGAGTTATGCCCCTTGGACTTGGAAAAATTTCAATTATTTGCAGTTTCCGTTCATTTTCTTTGCAACCGTTGCACATACTGAATTCAAATTTGGTATACAGATATATCACATGAATATCTAGGCCAAGTTCTGTTTTAGGTACGATTGCACCATTTTTGACAGAGTTATGCCCCTTGGACTTGTAAAAATTTCAATTATTTGCAGTTTCCGCTCATTTTCTTTGCAACCGTTGCACATACTGAAATCAAATTTGGTATACAGATATATCACATGAATATCTAGTTTAAGTTCTGTTTTGGGTATGATCGCACCATTTTTGACAGAGTGATGCCCCTTGGAGTTTGAAAAAATTTCAATTATTTGCAGTTTCCGTTCATTTTCTTTGCAACCGTTGCACATGCTGAGATGAAATTTAAAATACAGATTAATCAGATGAATATCTAGGTCAAGTTCTGCTTTGGGTACAATCGTGCCATTTTTGATAGAGTTGTGCCCCCTTGGACTTGCAAAAAAATTCCAATTGGGGGGAGGGGGGCATAAGTGTTTTACAAACATCTCTTGTTGTCCTTTGAGACATTTCAAAAACACCATATGTTGTTATCCATCTTTTAAAATGCAGATGTAGTCCATGTTTAAACAATTAGGAACCATTTTAATATTTTGAAAAATTTAAATTGATTAAATTTCACAATATTTTACCTTTGAAAGATTTCAAATTACATGGTCTAATGTTTTCAATCCTTAAAAATACATTAATAGTTCTTGTTTTGATATTGTTTAGATGATTGAAATTTTTAAAGACAAAATTCTATTTCATATAGAAGATGAATAATTCGGTTATGTTTATTATCTTTGAAAAAGAATATTAATTACTGAGTAAATTAAATGTCATTTCAAAAGGTTATCAATTATTCAAAAGCCATTTGGCATCCTCTTTATGAAAAAAAAATATTTTCTAAAATGCCATTCAAGTTGAATTTGTAGTGGAGCTTAAGTTTCCATTTTTCCGCTTGTCACTTTTAATTCAAATTTACTGAAGTTAATTTTAGTGTATTCCTAGCAAAAGTTTTGATCAAAGGTACTCCAAAAAATGCCGAATTCTTCTATTATTTATATATTATAATGGTAGCAAAATTTATACTATTACCCCCAAAAGGATCGTATTTGACTGCACGATTTTTGCAATGAATAAGTGTGTCCGATCAGTGGTGAAGTCATCGTATCATTTTAGAACTTTATTGTTTTATGAAACTACCTTTGAATTTTTAGTGTGGGATTTTATAAATTAGCGTTTATATAGTCATTGTCATTGCATAAATTATTTTTAGCAAGAAAAAATTAACTGGATGTTTCAATGCATGACAAATTTACAAACTCACGCCATGTACATGCTCATTTCTTTTGAAGGAAGAAAATGATTTATCTTACACCGCCTTCAAAAAGAAATTGAGTAAATCCATGTCATCAACTCCAAGGAAAAAGTCGAAAATAATAGAAGTAAGTACTCAGGGGACGACCGTTTGATTATCTTATCTTATTTCTTATCCCATGGGTAAGATACATAAAGGCGGAAAGTTGGCATAACGTTTTGATTATTAATTCATAAACAAAAGAAAATAATTTTAATAATAAAGATAAAAAGAAGAAGTGCAAATTCGTGTGAGTCGTATTAGTACTCAAGAATTCCGATTGGTCAATGATTGTTAAGTAGTTACCCCTTCAGGAAATGGTTCCGCAGCAATAAACATGTTTTTTTTGTTTTAATTCATCATGGGAATAAAATGGATAAAGTCTATCGAAAATATGGAATCACTAACCTGCGCGTATTTCAACTGACATTTTTGTATGACAGGTGCTATTACATTTCAACCATTGGTCTTACATGCTATCAGTTAATGACGGTTCTCAAGGAAAAGTCAAATTCAACGATCAGTCGAATGGAAAAGCAAAATAATGTAATATAAGAGTGATATCGAGATGGAAATTTTATGACAAAACCGTAACACCTCAAAGATCATCAATAGAATGAATTTCCCTAATAAAAAAGGATTGATATTTTCAATGTAATTTTGGAAAGTAACTGTAAGAATGCATCACTCCCCACTATTTTTGTAAAAAAAATTACCTACCAATATATAGTTAGTTTTGTTTGTTAATTTAAAATTGGAATCTTATCATGTACCAATTCGTTACTTAAGACTGCACAAATGCAATGAACAGACCATGGCCTGTGGTCAACAATGTTTTAAAACTTCGAGAATTATTCAAATAATTTGCATTGCCTACTTTAAACTGCTTCAGGACATTTTGAACGCGTACACATCGATAATTAAACAAGGATTTCTAAATGTTTAACAATACCACAGGCACCTGACGTGTGGAAAGTAAACTAAAGAACGAACTGATAGTGTGAAATTATGTACAATACTCAAAAAGTTTTAAAAATGTCTACTGGCATTTTAGGTGAAATATATCTCTGATAAAAGAGATAATATTCCGAAGAAATTATACCAAGAAATACATTAAATTATTACCGATTGATAATAGGAGAAATCACATAGATATGATGATAAACATTTTGTATCGCATATTTTACTGATATTGTGACATAAAAAAGGTTTTGGTCTATTTATTTATCATATCAATTTTTTTTTTCTTCAAATCATGATTGATATAATATTCATTTCTGAAATCGTAAGCAACGGCTCATGCTTAAAACAATGTTCCATTTGAATCTTACAATTTAATGTTCGGATTTAAAATAAAATGATGAAACTGATAATATTAATTAAATTGTATAATTTTTAATGTCAACATGTCTGTATACCTGGATCATAAAGACTACGTTGCTCTATAAATGAATACGTATTAGTCTAACTGTTTTCCAATGTACACAAAGGAATGGAGTCAGAAAAGTATTTTAAATACAGCTATGTTTTTATTGTAATTCTTATGTGAAACAAAATGTAAAGCAAACATGATATTAGCAAAAAGTTAGCATACATCAGAAATCTACCTTCTTCATATTGAAAGTGTATCGTAAAAATAAAGCATGTCATTTTTTTTTCATAAATGTGATAATTCATTTTTAATTGAATGAATATTTTTATAATTTAAATTTTGCTTTTTAAAGAAAGAAGCGGATTCATCTCATAATCGACTTGAAACCAGCATTCTGAATTCAAGTTTCAAAGAGTCTTTGTCCAAAAAGTCTCCACGTAAACCAAAGAAAAGACAACAACACTCAAGGATGCTCCAAAAAGCCCTCGACACTGTAGAATCATGTATAAGGAAAGGACAGAACTGCAAGTTTCTTTGCCTGGAGGAATTTGACAAATCCGACATCACAGGGCTGAGGGAAAGTTTTTGGACAAAGACATTTGAAAACAGAGTGGAATGGTTTTACGATAAGATGTCAGAGGCATCAAAGAAACAGCATCAGCTATTTTTTACCACTTTAGGTGGTAAAAAAGTATGCGCCCAATGCTTCCGACTACTTCTCCACATGAGTAGAACATTTTTCTTTAAGTATCAAAGAAAGTTCACTCAAGGTCGCGTGTCCGCGGGAATAAGGAGAGCAAGAAAAATTGGGAAAAGCAGAGAAAATGCTATTCTATGGATGGACAACTATATTTATTTCCATACTGAGCAGATGCCAGATTCTCCAATTCGCCTGCTGCAGTATAAATATAGAAAAAGAATGGTATATGATGCCTACATAGAAGAAATGATGAATAGAGATGAAGTATCTGTGTCATTTTCCACCTTTCGAGAAATATGGAAAGAAGAATTTCCATACCTAAAAATAAAACAAGTAAGTTACACTTAATTTTGTACATGAATCTGAACATACATTCCAAAATGACTAGTAAATAGCCTTATTTTCTAGAGATTGAATCATTACAAAAATTTACAGTTTTTATATCAAGTATCATTGCGCAATTGCAGACAAACACATTCTCAATGTGTAGCACATGCTACACCATTGAAAAGGAAATGGAGGGTACACGGAATAGACAAAAGAGAGAGTATTTGAAGAAGATGATGAGAGTTCATAATGAGAGACAAATGTAAGTCATTCTCTAATAATTTATATTAAAATTCTGTGCATTATGAAAATGAATAATAAAAATTTGCTTTTGTGAATTCTCATCAGCATAATTATTTCTTTAGGAGGGAAAGACGATATTATTACAGCAAAAGAGAGAAAGCAAAGAATGCGCCAAAGAAACATATGAGTCTTATCATCGATGCAATGGATCAATGTAAGAAGAAATATTTATAATTTCTTATTTCATTTTTGTAATATTTTTTTTTTATTTAAATAATTATTTTGAGCCTAAAGAGATACATGTACATGTATGCATTAAATTCAAGACCCTAAAACAAAAGAATTGTTAGGAAAATTATCATACAATTTAAAAATCATCTATAGTTTTTTTTAAAAGAAAATATACAAATTTTATCTATATTTTGTTTCAGCAAAAACAAACATTCCACATTTTACTGGAAGAATGCAAAAGGTACTTTGTATTTCTGTTTGAAAAATATATTTAAATGATGCTTACAAATAATTATATAATTACAATTATACATAAAGGTAATTCCTAGTTAACAAATTCTTTCATAACTTCAAAAATAGGGCATAGATCCAACGGCACTTTTGAAGACCCATATTCAAGGAGTCATCAATCACGGCAAAGGGACATATACATACTATGTTGACATCAATGAGTACTCCCACGATGCGAATCTAGTAATGAATATCATACTGAAATCAGTATATGCATCAACGGACAAGGTAAGAATATAATAATATGTTTTAAAATCTAAAGAAAAAACATATTTTTGTAAACCTTAAATTGTAAAAGAAAAAAACCCATATCAATGTTTGGTTTACATTTTAGCATGGTCGATTACCAGAGATATTATACATTCAGGCAGACAACTGTGCTCGCGAAAACAAAAATAAATTTGTTCTTGCATTCTGTGAGCTGTTGGTGAAATTAAGAGTTTTTCATGAGGTATGTTCACGATACTGATAGTTTACATACTCCACATTATAATATCAATTAACAAGTGGTCTAAAGAACTGAATAATACTACCATTAAGATTTTACTATCGCTATTTAAGGTTACATTTTCTCTATTTTGGGATGCTTAGATAAATTACGTATAAGCATGAAACATATATGCTCATATTTTGCAAATGAAACAAGACTTGTAAAACCATACAGTTACAGATCAATGCTCGTTCATGTCAGTTTTGTTATTAAAGACTATAAATGTTTGTCAGGTACACTTGTCGTTCCTGTATGTAGGACATACCCATGAAGACATCGACGCAAGTTTCTCTGTTATTGCAGAGAAACTGCGTAAAGAGGATGCTGAAACTCTTCCTCAGCTACAGAAAATTTTAAATGGAGGTAGGAGGGTGCAAGGATTCTACGATATCAAGAACTGGATCGCCCCTTGCATCAACCAAATTCAACATCATTCAAAACCCCTCCATTTCAAATTTCAAAGTACTGAAAATTATGGCGCCAGCGTATATTACCGGGAAAACTGCCAGAGAGCTTGGAAAAACCTAACGACCAATGTTCTGTCTTCTTTACCGAAAGGACAACCCAGTATTCTTTTACCTCCAAATTTTAATAATATTAATATCGATGGATTAAGAAGCAACGTCGAAAAATATAAATTTCAGTTTTCAGACAAAGGTGCATACAACTGGTGGCTGAAATTTATTAATGAAATAAAGGAGACAATGGAATCCCAAGCCAAGTTAAGAATGTATGCAAAGAAGCAGGCAGTGTGGTTACTTCCACTCGTGAAAAATAAATCAAGAAGATATGAAGAGGAGATGGAGGAAGTGAATCCCGTTCTGATGGAGGCGCTTGACAGAGAATTAGATGAACATTTGGTAAATATACTGTACACATATTGTATTGTAATAACTTTGATCATTATCAATAAACCCTAAATTACTTCGTCTGTGAAACTAAAAGATACACTCTTATCTGATTTAGGCAAACAGAAATAAATTACTTATATTTTACTACTTTATTTAATATAATGCCTGTTCTTGCATTTTAAGGTTGTCGTGAAGGAAACGAAAAGTAAGAAGCAACAGAGAGTTCCGAGGAAATCTTGATGGCATTTAAGCGTGGTAAAGATAGTTATATTGTCCATAGCATCGTGAAAGAACAAATGCATGTTTTACATTATCTCTATATCAAATGCTGGAAAGGTTTTGAGAGAAATATTGTTTTTCAAATGAGTTGCAACAATGGCCCTTTTTATCGGATACAAATACTGCTAAAATTTCATGAACATATTTTTCACAAGATTTTTTTTCATGAGGCTAATGTTACGAAACGTAAGAGAGGTGCATACTTATATAATTCATTATCAGTTATGCATTATTCAAATAGATGGTACATTTGAAGATTTCTTTATAATGTATGACTGTATAAATTTAATGTCATAAGAATGCTATTTTCCTACTTTAAATCAATTTCTTAAGCGACGTTACTCTCAGTTCGGTCTTTACATTGTAAATACGTATTTTGTTATTGATTTTTATTGATTTTTCTTATTGTTTAAAAAACCTTGTATTTTAGCTCCTATTAAAGCGAAAATCTTTATGCTCAAGTTTGAGTAACATTACGCCATAAATGTATTTCTTTGGTATCTCTTTAATATATGAAATTTATTCCAGCATGCTTAAATACTTTCTCATTTCTGTTGGGTTTCTGTGTGATATTCAGAGTAACAATACTCTATAAATACCACTGGTCTTTGGTAAGGTAATGAAGAAAATAAAAGTACATGTATCAATACCCCAGTATTACTTTTCTTGTGTCTGTTTCAAATTTAGGGTAACATTACTGTTTTATCAGAGAATGCTATTTGTAAGATTGTTAATTTTTGCTTCTGATTTTAATTCATTTCTTAGGTAATAATATATGTTTAAAATTGTTACTCGTTGCTTATGATTTCGATTTATTTCTAAGTAATAATACATTTATTGTCTTAAGATGATGTACTATGTACTTTTGTTCTAAACATTAAGATGGTTATATATATTCTGTTAACTTTTGGTTGATATCTGTGGTACCCATCATAAAACAAATTACATTTGATAGGCTGTACTGAATTCTGTAATTTATTTGTAACAAAGTACTTATTTTTAGTCTAAATACATACGACATGTACTTTTTTTTGTGTTTATATAAAAGCATTTTTTTTTCAAAACACATGATACCATAATGTAACAAAATGCTGTAATGTTTGATATTCTGCTTTTGTCAATATTTGTAGGAAAGTTCCTCGATAATTATAAACGTACCTGGAATAATTCTTCAACAATACATGTTGAATTCATTGTAATTAACCATCGTATTTACATATTTCTTTTGTCTCGTCTTGAAGTAAAGGATATACGTTGTGTTTATTCAATGGAAATCTTACATTTTTAAACAGCAAACTTACACAGGTTTTGGAGGAATGTTACTCTGTAATTCTTTAACTATAATGTCATAAAGCATTTAAATTATAAATTTATATTTACATTGATTTTTGGTATGAAAACAATGTTAAGGTTGAAGGACTGTTACTCTGTCTTTCATAGTGTTATATTATATTGCAATTGTTTAGAGGAATTCTACTCTGCGCAATTTTTTTGTTGTAGTAGCGTCTCACAGCATTAATGCACTTCAATGTTGAAATTAAGTCTGCATCAAAACAATTGTAAGGTTGAAGGAATGTTACTCTGTCAAGTTTGTATGACTTTAGATCTTGTAACATTAATGCACTTCAATGTTGAATTTAAGTCTGTATAAAACCAATTGTAAGGCTGGAAGAATGTTACTCTGTCCAATTTGTATGACTTTAAGATCTTAAAGCGTTAATGTACTTCAATGTTGATATTAGGTTTGGTTAAAAATTATTTTAAAGATGGAGGAATGTTACTCTGTCCAATTTGTGTGACTTTAAGATCTTAAAGCGTTAATGTACTTCAATGTTGATATTAAGTCTGGTTATAAACGATTTTAAAGATGGAGGAATGTTACTCTGTCCAGTTTGTATGACTTAAAGATCTTAAAGCATTAATTGATGTACTTCAATGATGAAATTAAGTCTGGGTATAAAAAATCGTAAGGTTGGAGGAATGTTACTCTGTCCAGTTATACAGGTTGACTGATTGATCTTAAAGCATTAATATACTTCAATGTTGTAATTAAGTCTGGGTATAAACAATTGTAAGGTTGGAGGAATGTTACTCTGTCCAATTTGTATGACTGTAAGATCTTAAAGCATTAATGTACTTCAATGTTGATATTAGGTTTGGTTATAAATTATTTTAAAGATGGAGGAATGTTACTCTGTCCAATTTGTGTGACTTTAAGATCTTCAAGCATTAATGTAGTTCAGTATTGAATTTACGTCTCTGGATATAAACAATTGTAAGGTTGGAGGAATGTTACTCTGTCCAGTTGTATAACTTTAAGACCTTAAAGCCCTAATGTGTTTCAATGTTTAAGTCCAAATATAAGCATTTGTAAGGTTGGAGGAATGTTACTCTGTCAAGTTTGTGTGACTGTTAGATATTAAAACATTAATGCACTACAGTGTTGAGATTTAGCCTTGAAAAAACGATGTTAAGATCTATAGGAATGTTACTCTGTATTTGGTACAACTGTAAGGCATAAAGTATTATATTATATTTGTTTGGCGGTATATTACTCTGTGTAATTTGTTTAACCGTACAGACTTCAAGCGTTAATGTAATTCAATGTTGAGATTTAGTCTTGACAAAAACGAGACTTAAATTTGGAGGGATATTAATCTGTCTTTGGTAGAACTGTAACGTCAATAAGTATTATATAGTATTTGTTTGGAGGAATGTTACTCTGTGTAATTTTAAATTTTTTTGTAAGGTCTTACACAATTAATGTTCTTCAATGTTGAATTTATGAAAGGTTGGAGGAATGTTACTCTGTGTAATTTTAATTTCTTTGTAAGGTCTTGCACAATTAATGTACTTCAATGTTGAAATTATGAAAGGTTGGAGGAATGTTACTCTGTTCAATTTGTGGGACTTTAAGATCTTAAAGTATCAATGTACTTCAATTTTGAAATTCATTCTGGATATATATTTTGTAAGTTTTCTTTGTGAGAAATTGTAAGTTTGGAGGAATGTTACTCTGTCCAGTATGACTTCGAGATCTTAAAGTATTAATGTACTTAATGTCGAAATTAAATCTTGGCTTGAACGATCTAAAGATGTAGAGGAATGTTACTCCTGTATTTGTTTACGAACCTAAGCATACACCATTTCTAGTGCACCTTTGTTGATATTGACTTTCTTCACTGTCTCGAGATGCCTATGATAGTAGGAGAAATCGGAGTAATCATGATTTTAAAGATTCATCACATTATACTTGTATTAATAATTCAATTTTCATTGAAGATGATTAGCGATGTAATTGAGGAATGTTACTCTGACTATTCACAAAAATAAAAGTCAAAATACCAAGTTGTATTGATAGCAAACATTTTTGATTTTTTTATCATATACAGACCTAGTGTGAAATACTCTTTGTAGGTAATTTGACTTAAGAATAAGTCAAACCCAACCGAAAACCCATAAAAGAGACTAATATTTCAGTCTCTTTTTATTCTGCTGTCCCTTATATATATATATATATTTAAAGCAAAAAAATTACATATTTTCAAGGTAAGCTCTTGTAATTCTTCCTGTTCTTTTACAGGTCAATGTCAGCTCTATCTCTGTTCCACTGAATGACATTTGCACTTCTATAACACTTGAGCCCATAGTTTTGCCATTTTCGAATTCGAGCACCTTGCATCCAACAAGAAAACAACCTTCATCGGTTACATATGTCGGGTTTTCTTTTGTACTTCCATAAACCTTTAGAGTTGCAGCTAACTCCTTTTCACCTTTACTGTATGTTTGAGTAGACTGGTATCTGTCGTTCGCTAAAATTGAATCTATTCTCACATGCCGATCAAAAATTTTCCCACAGTAATATGCTCCATCTATCTCAAATTTATAATCTTCGCGGTGTTTTCCTTCACAAAATTGAACGGAACACTCTATCCCGTACGTATACCTAGCTCTTCTTTCTTGAATAAGGTTTGGTTCATGTCCGAATATGACAGCTCCTTTCAACACCGAGAGGCCAGGATCTTCTGGTATGAGAAGTTTAATTTCTGGAAATTTGTTTTTCAGCGCGTCTCTGAGTATGTGAGACTCAGCGTAACCGCCAACAAGAAATATCAATCTTACACCATCTGCACTTGGATGCGACAATATGCTTTGAATGTGAGCACAAATTTTTGAAATTGAAGGAGTATAAAACGATTCAAATATTTCAGAGGAAATAAACATTTTGCCCGATTTAATTTTAACTTGATCTTTTAGGTCGTCGATTTCTGAAATTTTCTTGTTGACTGTTATTTGATTCAATGTTTGAAACATATTTCTCATTGTTTGTGGCATTTTTAACTGTACATTCTTTGGACTTGATATGAAAGCTCTCTTTTTCATTTCAAAATCTCTGGTCATTTCTAGTGCACTTTCAAGTTTGTCCTTCTTGAATTCATCCACAACATTTTTCCCAACAATTTTCTCATAAAATTTCTCCATTTCTTTGTTCACACTCGTACCTCCCCAATCTCCCCCTGAAGCTTTGTAAAGTTCTCGTACGTGACCTTCATCATCTATCATTTCATGTACGGCAATGTCCACAGTTCCACCTGAAGTAGGTAATTATTCATCTTTGAAAATTATTGATACATGTATCTCTCGTTGTAAAAATTCAGCAAAGATTGAAAAGGTTGCAAAAAAGAATCAATGGATGTAAAATGATCGGTCAATACAATTCAAGGAATGCAAAAATAAGAACAAGACATTAGTCTTTATTCTTCCGCTGAAGACCTTTTTGTTTGTCTTAGGAACTTTCCCACTTTTTTGTTACTATTAAGGTTTTTCAACTTCCTTCGAAAAACCTCACCGTTTTTTCTGTTTCCTATTAATATAATCCCCTTTTCATGGTACCCCTGATTTCTCGGAAACTACAAGAACGATTTCAAAGTTATTTCAGTAACGTGGATTTGTTTTCATATATGAAGACTTTTTTTCATTTCCCCAAAAAAGAATTACAAATTGTCATTTTGTCAATGCACTTATTTGTAAAACCTAACCGTGGCACAGTGGTTATAGCGTCTGCTCTTGAGTCGCGAAGTAAGGAGTTGATCCTTACTACGCGGGTTCGAATCCCACACTGGGACCTGGAGATCTGTCCTTTGGATGAGACCGTATAAACCGAGATCCCGTGTCGCAGTAGGTGCTGATACGAGAAAAATCCCTCATTGCTCAACGCCCCTTAATGTCAAACATAGAACAAAATATTTCTATTCTAGCTCTCCACCGGCAAGTGAAGGCGTCTCCATGTGAGTGAAAAATTCTTGAGAGGGACGTTAAACAACATACAATCAATCTATCAAAACCAACAGTGAACATACATGTAAAAGTGCAGACCTTTTATGCCACTAATATTTAAGAACATTGCATGTAAATTTGTCTTTGTGCTCTTGCAATTCTTTGCTCTCGCCAGACCTTCCCTGTTTTTGTCAAGTGCATCTTATGGTAAATTTTGCTTTGAGGATTTTAAGTAATAGATTCAAGTTCCATTATCTGTTTGAATATCCAAAAAATGTGGATAACTCCAATTACTGATATTTTGAAATAATTGTAAAGGCATTCGTACACGCTGTCGTTTTCACTCATTTTTCAAAATATAGGGTGACCTTTGAGTACTGAGCTTTTTTACCGTTTCTTAAATAAAGTGTAAACTGCCCCCGATGTGATGTCTATCAAATTTGCTATTTATCTTAAAGTCAATCCTCTATCATCAAGTATTTTTTGTTGAAATTTGGCAAATAGTACATAAGTGTTATAATTTTTTGTTGGCAAGGACGGTACCCATTTTTGATGCCCATTATATAATTTAATTCTATATATTTCTTTGGGATTTTTAACAAGTTTTACAGCGGCTTTGTTTAAGCTTTTATTTTCACTCTAGTTTACCGATTCTTTACCATTCATTTATAATGCAGTGTCTCGAATAGCCCTTGTTTCCCAGCTTCTCACAATGAAACTATGTGATGAAAATTGGTCACACGAACTGTTATAAATTCATTAAAGATTCAATTATGAGAGAAAGCCAATTTTAATGTCATATGATATCTGCATTGTATGTTATACAATTCAGGACATTATTTATTGAGCAGCCCTCGTATGATTCTCAACTAAGCATATTTTTTTCAATGTATTTTAATTTGGATTACCAAGCAGATAACAGTGGCATTAGTATTGACAACATGTTCAGATAATTTAAAGAGTAAAACTTACCGCCTGCATCACAAACTAAATATTTTATTCTCCCTCCACTTGCACTATATTCAGAAGATATCTGGTTTTTAATTGTGGAAAAATTGGTATAAATTGCCGCTGCCTCTGGTTCAAGTGCTATCATCAGCGCACTGTTGGCAATTCCGGCCTTTAAGATATGAAAAAAAAGTCATGATACAATGTGTTTGGTTTGAACATATTTTATTGTTTTGATGTTACAACAAAAAATACAATGTATTATACGTATTAAATATATTTGTTATGTATTTATTCATTGTATAATTGTAAATGCATTCTGAAGTCCCAAGTTCAAAACGTTTCTCAGAAAATATAACCTTTCATGTCGCCTTGATCAATAATAACTACCGGTAATGCAAGAATTGATTAATATTGTGATATTCCATCAAACTAATTCGTAATTTTTTTTAAAGAACCATGACTGTCTTAAAAAAGGAACTATAATTTGGAATAATAAGTAATAAACAAAAATCATCCCCATATCTAGACTTGAGTCGGTCCTTTAGATTCAAGCATTATCATGTTCATTATCAAATTAAATAATATAAACCATAACATGATAACCGAAACGTAATTACATAGAACTAGCTTTTATTTGGTAAAATATTTTACTTTCCTTTCTTTTTTAGTGTGGTGGTGAACCAATGCCAGTGTATTTTCAAGTACCAAACGTCTCACTACTAAACTGTTTGAAGAACGAAATGAATTTGTGTTTTTCGTTGTCAAGTTTCCACATTTATGTGATAATATTCCGCTATCAGTTTCATATACTGTTTACGTATTCCAACCTATTCCAAATCTAGAGCATACTAGATAGATAGATTGATTGTATGTTGTTTTACGTTCCGTTCGAGAACTTTTCATTCATACAGAGACGTCACCATATACCCGTGTAGGATATCAAAGAAAGTACGTTACATATAAAATCGACCCTTCCTCCCCCCCCCCCCCCCAAAAAAAAAATCCGATGAAGATATTTTTGAAACATGTCTGAAATGTCCCTTTTAATTCAGCTTATTTTTTTGTAATTATTTTAAATCATTTTCCTACTAACCTCTCTGAATGAAGATAGTTTCCTAAAAAATAGTCACTAGGACTTTATTATGTCTATCTGACGACGCTATGCAATTTGAGGGGAATCCATTTTCAAAATTTTCATTTGTTTATTTGTGAAGATTCACTCCATTCAATTTAATGTACTCTAGTACCCAGGTTCTGAAAATCAGGCATTGGCTAATTGAAATGCTCACCATAATTGTCTATAAATTCTCAAATTAATGTGTGTTTATTCTCTATAAATATTCAAAGGTCATCTTTAAAGTTAATCATATTATATAGGGAAATTCGTAAAACTAATTTTATTCAGGAAATGCGAATAAAATCACCCACGATGCATTTTCCAATTCATATTTTATCAAAAAACACATTCGAGAAATAAATTTACGGATATCATGGCTTTTGAAGAAATTGCATAATTTTCATACATGTAAGTTCAGGTAATCCAGATAAGGTAATTCAGTATCTTTTATTTACTTCGATCATATTTGAATGCTTAGTATATCAAGAATTTCCAATAATTGCATAACATAATAATTCATTTTAATATCATATCATAAAAGTAAACATTGGTATCTATGGTTAGATAAAAAGAACCTCAATTTCGTTAAATATGTAATTCTATGAGGTGAAACTTTCGATTTTAAAATCTTTTTTTCAGAACTTCAAAGAACATTGTTGCACAAAGAGAGGTATAAAATGAAAGTATGAAAGATTTCATATCCAAGCTTAATTTTGAGAGTTTTTGAATTGAATTATAAATTTAAGAATTATCCTTCCTGGCTATGGAACGAAGTAACTCTATATATTTTACATAGTTTAGTCCTAAAAGCCATTTTTGAACCCTTTCACTCCCCAGAGACGCATTTGGATGCATTTTCACATCACATATGTTTAACTGTTGTTTTTTTGTAAATACATGTAGTTGGCCTAAGGCCTGAGGTTCTGGTGACAGGATGGAGCTCAATTGATGATAATAGTGAAGATGCATTTAACTTTTTGAAAGTCCTTTTCTCTGCTCCTGAGTATTAAATAAACTTATTACATACATAGTGATGATGAAGAGTTTCTCTTCGAAAATTGTGACTTCATGGCCCCGAAGGCAGGGATTCTGGTGATTGGGTGGGGCTCTATTGATTTTATAGTAAAAATACAATATTTTTTTAAAAATTCTTTATCTCTGTTCATGCTGTTCCTGGGTATTAAACGAATTTACTACATACATAGTTATGATGAGGAGGAGTGCCTCTTTTAAAATTCTGAATTGTATGTCCCCAGGGTCAGAGGTTCTGGTGTTAGGGCTTCATTTATTACATATCTAAAATGCAGGATGAGGAAGGGAGCCTCTTCGACAGTTATGAATTTGATAACCCCAGTGTCAGGGGTTCTGGTGTCAAGGCGGGCATACTTTTTTATGTAAATATATAGTTAAAATATATTTATCTAATTTGAAAATCTTCTCCTTTGTTCCTGGGCTTTGAGCAGATGAACTATCTATATATCTATGATGCGAATTCTTAAATTTCAAGGATCCTGGACCAAGAGTACAATACGGAGTTCTGGTGTTAAGGTAGGGCTCTAATTATATACTGAAAATAAATTAATGCTTTGAAATCTGGTCCTAATGGTATCAATCAAACATTTATGACGAGAGAGGGGGTCTTTTCCAAAATTATGAAATGTGTGGCTCCAAGGTCAGGGATTCCTGAGGGGTAGGGGCACTACTGATTATTACTGAATATCACTCAGACTAATTAGGTGAAAGGCATTTTTACAAGTAACCAAACTAAGCATGCTAAGTGTATAGTTATGATGAACAATACTGCCTCTTTCAAAAGTATGAATGTTATGTCTCTGGTTTAAACTTGAACCAAATTCAATGGTTGGAAAGGTTGCATCCTTTCCTCAGATGACCTATAAGTCCCATGGGCCTCTTGTAATAATTATAAAGATAACGTTTAATGTCAACTAACAACTAAACAGTTGCTAAATGGGAAAACTTCTTAATTGCCTACCTTTTACATGTATTTATGTATTCTCAAACCGTCTGCATTTATGGTGTGTGATTTTCTGAATTATTCGGTACACTTTTTAGTATATTTAAACAAATGCGATGCACAAGTGAAAATTTTCTTTCACAAAAGATTCTAAGGATAATGCCAATTTTTCTTCTATTGAAAGGGTCATTTTGCGACGTCGAAAAAAAAAACTTTGTTCATTATTCTATCGGGTCAGTATTC